CGAAACCAAGACCGAGAGGGTTCAGCACGCCAGGCTCCCCTGCGATGAATCGACAGGGGGCGGCGGATCGAAGACGCCTACGGCGAATCACCGCCGCCCCCTGCCTTTTTGGAAGCGCCGACGTGGCCGAACGTTGAGGCCAGACCTGCCAAGCTATCGGACCATGTGTTCCCGAAATCGGTTTGGAAAGCCTTCGGGGAACACGTGGGCATCTTGAAGGTCATCTTGGCCGTCTGGAGGCCATTTTGACCCTTTCTGGCCTTCTTGGAGGACGTCTTGGAGGGCTCTTGGACCGTCTTGGAGGCCATATTGAGCGTCTTGGAGACCTCTTGGGCCGTCTTGTGGGCCTCTTGGGGCCGTGTCTTGGGCCTCTTGGGCGATCTTTGGGGGCACTTGGGCCGTCTCGGGCCGTCGGAAGGCAGAAAAAAAACAAATGCCACAATCCTTCAAAAACCAATGGGAAATCAATGATTTGGGCCTTTTCGGGCCTTCCTGGAGACCCTTTTGGAGGCCTCTTGGGCCGTCTGGGGCCAACTTAGGGCCATGTTCGGCCGTCTTGGTGGGCTCCTGGTCCGTCTGACGCCGTCGGAAGCCGTTTGGGGGGCCTCTATGGGCCGACTTGGGACCCTCTTGGAATGCTCCAGGGCCGTCTTGGAGACCATCTTGGGCGTCTTAAAGGCCTCCTGTGCCGTCTTGGGGGCCTCTTGGGGCCGTCGTGGGGCCCTCTTGGGCCGTTCTGGGGCCATCTTGGAGGCCTCTTGGGCGATCTTTCGGCGATCTGTGGGAGCTCTTGGGCCGTCTCGGGCCGTCGGAAGGCCGACAAAAAAGGAAATGTCAAATTCCGTCAAAAACCTTAAGAACATCAAGGTGTTTGGCCTCTTCGGGCCTTCCTGGAGGCCCTCTTGGGGGCCTCTTGGTGGGCCGACTGGGGGCCCTCTTGGGTCACTTCGGGGCCGTCTTGGAGGCCATCTTGGGCGTCTTGGAGGCCATCTTGGGCGTGTTGAAGGCCTCTTGGGCCATCTTGGGGCCCTCGTGGAGCCGTCTTGGAGGCCACTTGGGCCGTCATGGGCCTTCTTGGGGGCCTCTTGGGCGATCTTGGGGGCCTCTTGGGCAGTCTTGAGCCGTTGGAATGCCGAGAAGAAGCAAATTCCAAAACCCTTCAAAAACATAGGAAAATCAATGATTTTTGTCTCTTCGGGCCTTCCTGGAGGACCTCTTGGGGGCCTCTTGGGCCGTCTGGGAGGCCTCTGGGGGGCCTCTTGGGCCGTCTTGGAGGCCGTCTTGGACCATCTTGGGCGAACTTGGAGGCCATCTTGGGCCATCTTCGCGATTTGTTGAGGATGTCCCGAGCGAAACGGCCGTTTCAGGCATTGACTGATGCAGTTTCCGGGTGGCCGGCGGGACGTGCCGGAGCCCTAGGGGGAGTTCTTTTGAAAAAAAAACCAAAACCAAAAGCCATATCGTTCGGGACGCCAGGCACCCTTGCGATGAATCGACAGGGGGCGGCGGATCGAAGACGCCTACGGCGAATCACCGCCGCCCCCTGCCTTTTTGGAAGCGCCTATGTGGCCGAACGTTGAGGCCAGACCTGCCAAGCTATCGGACCACGTGTTCCCCGAATCGGTTTGGAAAGCCTTCGGGGAACACGTGGGCATCTTGAAGGTCATCTTGGCCGTCTTGGAGGCCTCTTGGGCAAGCTTTGGGCGATCTTTGGGGCTTTTTGGGCCGTCTCGGGCCAGCTTCGAGCCAACTTCGGCCATCTTGGTGGGTTCCTGGCACGTCTGAAGCCGTCGGAAGCCGTTTGGGGGGCCTCTATGGGCCGACTTGGGGCCCGCTTGGAATGCTCCAGGGCCGTCTTGGAGGCCATCTTGGGCGTCTTGGAGGCCATCTTGGGCGTGTTGGAGGCCTCTTGGGCCCTCTTGGGGCCCTCTAGGGGCCATCTTGGAGGCCACTTGGGCCATCATGGGGCTCTCTTGGGGGCCTCTTGGGCGATCTTGGGGGCTTCTTGGGCCGTCTTGAGCCGTCGGAGAGCCGAAAAGGCGCAAATGCCAAAATCCTTCAAAAACCAAAGGAAAATCAATGATTTTGGCCTCTTCGGACTCTCCTGGAGGACCTCTTGGAGGCCTCTTGGGCCGTCTGGGAGGCCTCTGGGGGGCCTCTTGGGCCGTCTTGGGCCGTCTTGGACTCTCTTGGGCCGTTTTGGAGGCCGTCTTGGACCATCTCGGGCGGACTTGGAGGCCATCTTGGGCCATCTTCGCGATTTTTTGAGGATGTCCCGAGCGAAACGGCCGTTCTTGGAGGATTTTTTGCGGTCGTTGAGCACGTTTGGGGAAATTCCGGGTGGCCGGCGGGTTCTGCCGGAGCCCACTGGGAAGTTCTTTTGGAAAAAGAACCAAAACCAAAACCTGACAGCTCATCCAGCACGCCGTGCACCCCTGCAAGCAGGGGGCGGCGGATCGAAGACGCCTACGGCGAATCACCGCCGCCCCCTGCCTTTGTGGAAGCGCCTATGTGGCCGAACGTTGAGGCCAGACCTGCCAAGCCATCGGACCATGTGTTCCCCGAATCGGTTTGGAAAGCCTTCGGGGAACACGTGGGCGTCTTGATGGTCATCGTCGTCGTCTTGGAGGCCTCTTGGGCGATCTTTCGGCGATCTTTGGGGGCTCTTGGGCCGTCTCGGGCCGTCGGAAGGCCGAAAGAAGGGAAATGCCCAAATCCATCAAAAACCTTGGGAAAATCAGTGATTTGGGCATCTTTTGGCCTTCCTGGAGGCCCTCTTGGGGGCCTCTTGGGCCCTTTTGGGCCAGCTTCGAGCCAACTTCGGCCATCTTGGTGGGTTCCTGGCACGTCTGACGCCGTCGGGAGCCGTTTTGGGGGCCTTTCTGGGCCAACGGGGGACCCTCTTGGGGCGCTCCAGGGCCGTCTTGGAGGCCATCTTGGGCGTCTTGGAGGCCATCTTGGGCGTGTTGGAGGCCTCTTGGGCCGTCTTGGGGCCCTCTAGGGGCCATCTTGGAGGCCACTTGGGCCATCAGGGGGCTCTCTTGGGGGCCTCTTGGGCGATCTTGGGGGCTTCTTGGGCCGTCTTGAGCCGTCGGAGAGCCGAAAAGGCGCAAATGCCAAAATCCTTCAAAAACCAAGGAAAAATCAATGATTTTGCCCTCTTCGGACTCTCCTGGAGGACCTCTTGGAGGCCTCTTGGGCCGTCTGGGAGGCCTCTGGGGGGCCTCTTGGGCCGTCTTGGGCCGTCTTGGACTCTCTTGGGCCGTTTTGGAGGCCGTCTTGGACCATCTCGGGCGGACTTGGAGGCCATCTTGGGCCATCTTCGCGATTTTTTGAGGATGTCCCGAGCGAAACGGCCGTTTTTGCGCACGGTGGCGGGTTCTGCCGGAGCCCACTGGGGAGTTCTTTTGGAAAAAGAACCAAAACCAAAACCTAACAGCTCGTCCAGCACGCCGTGCACCCCTGCAAGCAGGGAGCGGCGGATCTAGAGGCTTTCGGCTCATCCCGCCACCGTGCCTGGATTGTGGGTCGGAGGCTTGGATGCATGTCAGGGTCTCTTGGGCTGCCTCTCGCGGGCCTTTTGGAGGCAGTTGCGGGCATCCTGGGGTCTCGTTGGTGCCTTTCGAAGCCTCTTGCGGGCTTGCTGGCAGTCTGGGGGATCATCTCGGGGTGGAGGGTTCGAAATGTTCACTTCACGTTCACCTCCTTAGGCCCTTTTCTTCGAGCCCTCGTGGGCCGTCTTGGGGGCTTATTGGGGCGATCTTGGAGGCCTCTTGTGGCGATCTTTGGGACCTCTTGGGCCGTCTTAGAGCGCTGGAAGCCCGAAAAGGCCAGAGCACTGAAATCCGTCGAAACCTACGGGAAATCAATGGTGTTTGCCTATTGGGGGTCACCTTGGAGCCCGCTTGGGGCGTCTGGGGGGCCTGTTGGGTCATCCTGAAGCCATCTGTGGCGTCTTGGAGCGCTCTTGGGTCGTCTTGGCGCCCTCCTGGACCGTCTTCGGGCTTTCTGGTATCTCTTTTGGACTGCCTTGGATATCCATCTTCGGAAAGACTCCCGCGACACACGCCAGGAGCGCCTAAGATCGCTCGAGGATGCTGGATATCCCAAGGCTTTGGGTCCTTACGAATGTTGAAAATTGTCAAACACGTGAGCCTTGAAGCACTCCATTACGTGGTGAATGCACGTTGGCGGAATTATGAGTTTGAATTCCGGAGGCTTCAGAGTTGTTTCAGGTTTTTTAGTTCAAGTTACAGCAGGTCGATTCATTTGTTGATGTTGGTATCGTTGTTTGGCGAGCGTCTCGGTCGTTTCTGAACGATTATCGGTTGTTGTTTTACCGCGCGCAGCAGTGCATGTATTGTGCGAGTTGGTCGCATGATGTGTCGGGCCAAGCTGCCAGCAGCAGGAACAGCAATAGTTTCAGCAACGCCAAGACAGTTGAGATTCGTGCGTAGGCAATAATAGTGGCGTGTCACACTGTGTTGTCAGCCCCGCGGAATTGTTCCAGTGCGTGGAGCAAAGCAGTCGTAGTACATGCATGCGTGCATGTCATTGACACCGTCAAACGTGGCACAGTCCGATGCAGTGGGACACTCTAGAATAAGAAGGTACGTGGGCCGCATGGTGCCATCGCTTTGTGGGGACGGGGTGAAGTGGGCGAATGTCAAAGGACATACCCCGGCTCGAGCTAAAGGTGTTTCTGCGATTTCATGTAGCGTTTTCGTTTTGATGTCGTTTTGTAGCAAAGGCCGAACGAAGACAGAACAAAGGAAAACGAAAGCATAACGAAATCGAAAAAGTGTTATTCAACACTGTTTAGCCCGAGCCCTGACAGACCCTGTCGTGCCCCGTAGATATACCGATCATTTGTTGATGCATTTTTTGTAGGTCCGACGAACAAATCAATTGTGAGGCAAACCGATTATGTAAGCGACCCCGTCCTCGAATTGTCACCCTGCTCTGGGCTCATTTTCCCGTGCGTGGCTCCCCCCTCCGAGGCCAGGAGCCTCCGGTGCGAGCTCCGGCAGGCCGTCTCCAGCGAGGCCGCGCTGCGCAGGTCGGTCCAGGCGCGCCTCGCGCTCCGCAGCAGGGTCTCGGCAAGAGCGCCCCCGAGGGCGCGAAGTTATTCGCGCTTCGCGGTAGCGCGTGTCACATCCACCGCACCAGCATAGGCAGCATCATCATCGCCGTGTTGTTCGTTGCCGCATGCCGTCGTCGGATGCCCGTTGTCGCATCATCATCATCATCATCATCATCATCATCATCATCATCATCATCATCGTCATCGTCATCGTCATCATCATCATCAGCAGCAGCATCATCATCAGCATCATCATTGTCAGCATCATTGTCATCATCATCAGCATCACCACCATCACCATCATAATCATCATCAGCATCATCATCAACATCATCAATACCATTATCAGTATCAGTATCAGTATCAGTATCATCATCAGCATCAGAATCATCATCATCATCATCATCATCATCATCATCATCATCATCATCATCATCATCATCAGCATCAGCATCAGCATCAGCATCAGCATCAGCATCAGCATCAGCATCACCAGCATCATCAGCCGTAACCATTTTGGCTCATGCCTTTGCCGTAGGCCCCCTGCTCCTGGACCTTGCCCCTCTGAGGGCCTTGGGGGGGCAGGGCTCTTGGCTCACGGAGCGATGGTGGCACGGGATGGCGCGGAGTGCGCGCCAAGGCGATCGGCGTCCCAGCGCAGGGCAGGCCGAGAGTGGGCGAAGTGGTCCGCCGACAATGCCGTCAGGCGGCTCTCGGACGAGCTGGCCAAGACCCGATTTCGCCTGGAGGCCGCGGAGGAGGCCCTGTGCGCCGTCATCGGCGACGGCGAGGTTGGGCAACGACTGCAGGCGATGCTCCCCGCGCTGCAGGCCAAGCTTGGGGGTAGGTCTCCACGTGGCTCGAGCGCCTGCGGCGTAATGTCGCCCTCCACGCTGAGGCGCAGGGCGTGGACATCATGGCGGCGGGAGCGGCGGAGCTGCGCTGTGCCCAGCGGGGGCCCCGGCTGGAGGGGCGCGCGGCGCCCAGGCGCGAGGCCGAGGAGACTGCCGCTGGGGCGATGCGGGCGGAGGCGCCCTCCCTTTTTCCGGCCGGCCTCCTTGGCGCTGTCACGCCCGACTTCGCGCCTGAAGGAATCGACCGAGATGGGGGCGTCCGAGCTGCGCGGGCGCGGCGCCACCGCGCGGCCGGCAGTCGCCAAGGACCACGTCGACGTTATCACGGAGGACGGCAGCGAGCAGCTGGAGCCTCTGGATGGCAGGCCGCGGGCGCGGTTGCCTAGGGAGTTCAGGCGCCTGCGGGAGCGCCTCCTTCTACTGGGGCCAGCAGCGGTCCTCGGGGAGCCCAGACAGGGGCAGACCCTGAAGGAGGGCAACGGACCTTGGCGCGAGGCCGCAGACACGCGGGTGGCCGAAGCCCGTGACCAGGTCCAGCCTCCACCCTGGGCCGCGGATGCGCGGGTGGCCGAAGCCCCAGGGGTAGAGGCCCCTCGTCGGCGTCGGGGCGCGGAGACGTCGTTGGGGAGCCCGGGCAGACCCAGAATGGGAGGGGTGAGCTCCGGGGCAAGGCCGCAGACGCGCGGGCGGCCGAAGCCCTCGACCGAGCTCAGCCCCATTCCAGGGCCACGGCGGATGAGGGTCCCCTCCCAGCGGCTGGCGCCGGGACGCAGAAGCGTCCTTGGGGGGGGCCCAGACAGGGGCAGACCCTATAGGGAGGGGGAGGCGAGCTCGTGCTCGAGGCCGCAGACGTGCGGGTGGGCGTTTCCCTCGACCGAGCTCAGCCTCCGCCCAGGGCCACAGACGCGTGGGTGGGCGAGCCCCCTGAGCCGAGCGTCCCCTCCCAGGCGGTGGAGGACCACAAGGGCACGCACAAGCGCAAGTTCGGCCTGGACCTGGACGAGGACGGGGGTTTCTTCGAGGGCGGGCTGGAGGACCCGAAGGGCTAGTACAAGCGCGAGGTCGGCCTGGGCCTAGACGCGAACGTGAGCGCGCGCGAGGACTGGTCGGAGTGCGGCGGCCTTGGCGGCGGCACAGGCTTCCTGTCTGCGCTCGAGCTCCTGGAGGCGGGGGCCGCCTCTCGGACCTCCCTCGCCGCGGCCGGCATCCTCCTGGGGGTCAAACTCGAGGCCGCGTACCAGCTCGCGAGCGTCGCGGGCTGGGTCGCCGTGACTGCTCGGGTGTCGTTTTCCGCTTGCTTCGGCCGGGGCGGGGGGCGGCTTCGCGGCACTCAGGCGAATCTGCGCGCGTGCCACGGCCACGAGACCGCACGCTGCCTCCGCAGAGCCAAAGGGAAACGCTTCGGTCCGAGGGGCAGCACGAGCTAGAAGCCCCTGACTTCTTTGGACGCGTGGATCATCATCATCATCATCATCATCATCATCATCATCATCATCATCATCATCATCATCAGAATTGCCATCATCATCATCACCACCATCATATTCATCATAGTCATCAGCGCCGTCGTCATTTACATGAGCATCTTCCGCCTGGTGTCGGGGTCGGGTCCCGCCTGAGCATCCCGCCTGGGGCGGGGCGTTGCTGGGGCTGTCTGCGGGGTTGACCCCTGCGGAGTTTAGGAGTGGGCGCGCCCGCGCAAGTCCTCGGGCGGGGAGGCGAGGCCCTGGGCCGTGCTCGCCGCTGACTCCCGTCGGAAAGACTGAGGATGCGGAGGAGGGGCGGAGGAGGAGGGGGGGAGGAGGAGGAGGAGGAGGAAGAGGAGGAGGAGGAGGAGGAGGAGGAGGAGGAGGCGGTCGAGGCCGAGGAACGAGCGAGCGAAGGACGCGCGCCCAGGGACGGCGGCAGGCGGGCGCGCCGTCGCGGGCAGAGGGCGGGTGAGAGGTAAGTATGTCGATCGCACATCGCGCATCACAAGTGGTTTGCTTCTCTCCTCCTCGTCCTCCTCTTCTTCCCCCTTGTCATCATCATCAGCATCACCAGCATCATCAGCATCATCGGCATCACCGTCATCGTCACCGTCACCGTCACCGCCATCAGTATCAGCATTATTATTAGTGGCATCATCACCATGATCTACATGATCCTCTACATCATCAGCAGCATCATCGTCATCAGCATCAGCCGCATCATCACCATCAGCAGCACCTTCCGAGTCGGAATATAAATCGAAACACTTATCATCACCATCATCAGCAGCATCACCAACAGCATCAGCATTCTCATCACAAACAGCAGCACCATCATCATCATCATCATCATCAGTATAATCCTCATCTTCGTCAGCATATCATCAGCACCGGCATCATCAGCCCGAAGGCACCCAGCGCCCGTCCGCCGACCACGGCGGTGAAGGCGGTGGAGTGCGAGAGGGACTCGGCCGACGATGATGAGGCTGCAGGTGATGAGCCTCCTGGCAGCGACGCGTCGGAGCACGCTGTCAAGCACGACGGGCGCGCGCAGCCAGGTGCTGCGCAACAGGACTTCCAGGAACAGGTCGGGATCGGCTCCAGGGGGCCCACGAGGGGGGTGCACATCGAGGAGGAGTGCACGCGGGCGGGCCCCCAGCGGGTCCAGAACCAGGAGTCGGAGGCCCGTGGCAAGGTTGCATCGGAGCCCGCTCTCGCCGAGACGCCGATGCGCGTGGGCGCCCAGGCGGCCTCCGAGCAGCAGTCCGACGCCAACCAGCAGCGCGACTCCGAGCAGCCCGAGGGGCAGTTGCAGTTCCCTTCGGGGCGGGCGGGGCTCGTGGCGCTGCGGGCCAGATGCAACGGGCCGATGGCTGGGGTTCGCGCCGCCTTGGGCTCCAAGCTGCGCGCAGCCCGCGAGGCGCGCGGCAGGCGCTGACGGGCGCGATCTGCCCCGACAAATTTCTCACATTTCTTCTGCCGCGCTCTCGCGGCATCTGCCTTAATGTACTTGTGGCACCCTGCGGCTCGGGGCCCATCGGTCTGCCGAGCGCGGCGCCGCGCGCTCGCTGCGCCAGACGAGCCCGGGGATCACGAATGCCTGCGGCGAGCTTGCGAGCTTCAAGGGGACAAGGACCCCGTGGCGTAGGCAGTGCCCCTCGGGGCTCGGCACACGTCAGGGTTCACTCACTCCTGCGCCTCCTGGGCTCGCTGCTGCTCTGTCCGCGCCGTTTGGCACGTCGAGAGGCGCTTGCGTTCTGCAGCTCTGCTGCGTGCCAGCCCGCCTGTCTCGTGCATTTTTCTCGCGCCAGGGCGGAGGCCGAACCGAGGGGGTTGGTGGATTGCTACCGACTCTCTGGATCGCCTCCGAACGCCATCGCAGAGCAAGGCTGTCCAGTGGGCGGTCAGGAACCATGGGGGCTGCGTTGCTCTGCTTTGGCGCGCGCGTGCTGCAGTAGCGGGTTGAGTCGCCGTGACTGTTCGGATGCCGTACTACCGTTTGCTTCGGCTGGGGCGGTGGGCGGCCTCTTGGCCCTCAGGTGAATCTGCGGGGGTGCGCTGAAGCGCACGGGACCGAGCGTTGCCGCCGCAGGGCCAGAGGGGAACGCTTCGGTCCGAGGGGCAGTGCGAGCTAGGAGCTCCTGACCTCTTTAGACGCGTGGTACATCATCATCATCATCATCATCATCATCATCATCAGCATCATCATCGTCATCGTCATCGTCATCGTCATCGTCATCATTATCATCATCGTTGCGCTGCCCTGCCCTTCGCCTCGCGTTCCCAAGCCCGTCTTTCTTCGCGGACTCTCTCCGCCATGGCGATGGATGGCTCCTCTCGTCCTCCACGGAACAATTTCGTGCTCGTGCCCCTCGACTAATTCGGTTGGCCCGGGGGCCCGGCAACGTGCCCTGGAGGCCGAAAAATGCCGACATCGACGAACAAATGCCCGAAAACGTAAAAACAACAACCAACAAAAAAAAACGAATGAGCCCTTCGCAGGCCGACATCGACGAAGAACGAGAAATGCCCGAAAACCATACCAGAGGGCGCGATACCGGGGTGGCCCGCTCAGTGGAGCACACATCGCCGATGGATCTGCGATAGGCCCCCGATGGCGACACCGCCCGTTTCTGGGCGGGGTGGGCCAGCGGGCCCCTGTCGGCGATCGATGGGCGCTTGGGAGTCGATGCGTCCCCCCTCTAAGCGTATGCCCCTTTGCTTGGCGGCGCGCACAAGGGAGCAGGGAGAGGAGGGAAGGCTTCTTAGGAGGATGCTTCTAAGATGCCTTCCCCCCTCCCCCTCCCCCCTCCCCCTCTGCGCATGGCCCCCTTGAATCCGCGGGGGCCCCAGGGGTCCCCAGCACCCCTTCCCTGGAGGCAGTTCTCCGTCTCGCATTGGGCTTGATGGCCCCAGGGCCCGGAAGAGATCGGGAAGCCAAGAATCCAGCAGGGGTCTTGGGGAGATCACCGGGCGCGTTCCACTTCTCGCAAAGTGCTTACTCGCAAACGTCTCGAAACAAATGTTTGCTTTGATGTAGCGGATCGTACATCCCCCGCTGTGGATCCAAGCCATTGTGAGTAGTTCTTCTGCGAGTCGTGGAATGCGTTTGTCTAGGAAAGTGGGCGCAGATCAGGGGTCGACCTGAAGGTGTTTGGGCGGTTTCGTAGGCCGTTTTCGTTTCGACTTCGTTTGGCAAAACGAGGGAACATGAAATCGATGAGAAAACGAAAAGCACTGCTTTGGTCGAGCCCTGGCACATATCGGGGGACGTCAACTGACGCCCTCACCGATGGAGGCAGTGGCCCGCGTAAGCTGCGGCGCCAGGTCTTTGTGCCGCCGCTTCGTCATCTCGCGCAAGACCCGTTTTTGAGCGTCGCTCGTCTGGGCCTGGGCCATGCCAGGTGCACACGCCATCTTGGCTCGGCCAGAGAGGCGGAGGCACCGTTCCTGTGCCCAGGCCGGGCCCGGCCAGGCTCGGCGGAGGTGGACAGCCGACGTCCCCCCGAAGAGGGCCGTCTTCGGGCAGCCGCGTTGGAGGGAGCGCGGCCCCCCCTGCCCCGCAGGGGCTCTCGGAGCGCCCACCACGGGCGAAGGGGGGCGGAAAGAGAGCTGCCCAGGCCGTCGCGGTGAGGGGGCCACCCTGCCTTGCACCACCCACCAAAGCATTCCCACCCAACACGAAGGCCCCAATTTGCAATCCATTCCCGGTGTGGTGGGGGGGTCTGGAACATCGAAAAAACACATGGAACCCGTATCACCCCCCCCACCCAAATTTGGGGTCTTCGAGGTGGGTTGGGGTGGTCTGGTAGGTAGCCAGCCCTCAGGGCCAGGATCGGCGAGGTGGCCAGCCGACGTGCCCCGAAGAGAGGGCTGTCTTTGGGCTGTCGCGCTGGAGGGAGCGCCGCCCCCCTCCCCGCCTTGCTGGGGTCGGGGCAGGGCTCGGTTCGATTCCTCTGGCTCGATTGGACTCGACTTCGATTCGGAGAAAAAAACACTGGTTCGGTTCGATTCGACTCCGTTTCGGTTCGACTTCAAGGGCTTCCGATTCTGATGCGATTCGACTTCGGATTTCGAAGACGAAGAAACGGCATAAACATAATTTTCGGCGCTCCACACGGATCTATCTCTTGGATCTGCGCTGGGCCCCCCTGGCGGCGCCTCCGGCCCCGCCCCTAGCCCGCTCCGCGCGCCAGGGAGGGGGGGTATAGTGCGGATCCAAGAGATCCGCGCGGAGCGCCACAGGTTTGTGTGTTTGCCGTGTGTTATTATTCTATTCGGATTCCGATTAGGGTTCGGATTTCTCGCTGGAGGCAGACTAGCCTGCCGATTTCTGCCGATCCGATTCATTCCGATCGCCGATCCGACTTGTCGATTCGACTCTCTCGGTTTCTGTATTCTGTCTGTCCCCCTCCGGGATGGAAAGACTGTGCCAGGGGAAAGAGAGCAGAAACAGAAGAGCTCACAAGTTCCCGCAGGTTTCTTGGATCGGCGATGGTCAGGAGAGGAAAACCGGCACAAACCCAAACAAACATTGGCATCTGTTGGGACATGTGAGAACACGTGGGACATGGCAGGGAAGAGGGACACCCAGGAAGGAGGTGCGCAAAATTAGATGTGCAACCCGTGGATTTGTGTAGATGTGGTGTGTCCCCCTGGGTCGGGCGGGGCTGGGACGAGGATGGATCCGTTCCAGAGCGTTCCGGAACGCTCTCTGAGCGCCACGGAAAGCTCCGAGAAGGCCGAGGCGCCCGAGTTATCTTCCAGAGCCGCCAGATCTGAGAGATCCTCGATCTATCCTCACCCAAGTTGTCATGGCGCCAACATCACAGAGCGGATTTCGTTCGGAAAACGATAGGATGGGCCTGGAGTGTCCTGGAGAATTTCGTTCCAGATTTCGAGGTGAATGTCGTACGGATTTGCTTGTGGCCAGGAATGAAGACTGAATCAAACTCACGCGAAATTCACGTCGTCTTTCACTCGCCGTTTCGGGGTCCTGCATGGAGCGCCAAAATCCGCTGCAGCACGTCTGCAAGGTCGGTGCAGTGAGCGTTGATCCTCGCCCTGGCGTCGTCTTCCTGGGGCCCTCGCGATGCACCCCGCGCCCTGGCGCGCTCTCTGCCACGCGGCGCGGCCGCCCGAGGCGCGGAGCCTGGCGCTGCGGGACGTCCTCTACGTCGGCGCCACCACCGGCGCGCCGACCGCGCGCCCCCCGTCGGCCGGCGGGCACGGCGGGCTCGTGCGGCGATGGCGCGCTGGCGACGCCGGCGAAGGCGCTCGAGGAAGAGCTCCGCGCACGCCGAGCGCGCTCGAAAGTTACTCGCGGAGCGCCTGCTCGCAAGCGCTCGAGGAGCGCATGTTCGCCGCGGCATGGCGGGTCGTGGAAGCCCCGCGGTGGATCCCAGGGCTGGACCTAAACGCTGTTTTCCTGGATTCCGGCTGTGTTTCGTTTTTCGTTTTGGCAGGGAGGTATAGGAAAAGAGGTAAAGCAAAACGAAAAACATAACGAAAGCACAACGGAAAACAACGTTTAGGTCCAGCCCTAGTGGATCCAGGCCATGTGCGAGTAGTTTCTTTGCGAGTGGTGGAACGCGCTGGTCCGCGCACGATGGAGCGGCGCGGAAGCACCCGAGGGGACACGGCAACGCCACGGGACTCGGCGGGATTCGACCTTGAACGATCGGGGCCCCGATCGATTCAAGGTTTTAAGTCGGGCGTGTCCCTCTACAGGAAGAGTATTCAAAAATAGCAAAAAAATAATAATCGGGCGGACGATTTTTCCACTATGTTTGAGTCTTGTTTGAACAGCTGGGGGATATTTCTATTTTCCGTCCAAAATCCGCCTGCAGTGGGAGACGCCCGACCTAATTCAAGGTTGAACGATCGAGGCGATGTCCAAATCTTTCGCGTGCGACGACCCGCGCGAACCTACTGTTCCGGGCTTCAGAGTCGAAGGCCTGGAGGTTGACACCAACACCAGCATCGGCGGGCTGCCTTCACCGAGGCCAGATGAATTCCGATCTCGGCGATGGTGGTAAGATTCGGGTGTCTTAGGTGGGTGGTCGAAATCTTACCACCAGCTCCAGCATCCAGGATTAAGTCGGGCCTGTCCCTCGACAGGAGGAATATTCAAAAATCATAGAAAAAATGATAAGGAGACGATTGTTCATTATTTGTTTAACATTTTAGGGTATTGTTTGACTATTCTTAAGTTGTCGTCCAAAATCCGCCTGTAGGGTGGCATGCCCGACCTAAATCTAGGATAGTCTTCCCCTGGTGAAGACACCTCCGTGTGCTGGTGTTGGTGCCAAGGTGCAGGCCTCCAACGAAGGCTGTTTCCGCGAGGCCTGAGAGGGGGTCCCAGTGGCCTCCAGAGTCAGAGGAAGAAGCATTAGCATAAACATCAACCTTCGGAGGTCCAGATGGAGTTCTTGGGTCAGCGCTTGAAGCACCCCGCCCTAGGGGGTCCAGCTCTGATTTGATTGAACGGGGTTCAGCCCAAACGGGGCTCGAAACACCAGATCCTGCAGGATTCTGGAAAGCCAGACTTTGGTGGATCTGGGTTTCGGAGCCGCTCGCCGCCCTGGAGGTGGCCTTGCATGTCGGCTGAGCTGGACCTGGGAAGCCCCAAAAAGTTGCAGCGCAGTTTTTGTTTGCATTTGTTGAGCCGGGTTTGCGATGAGCCAACGCAGTCCACGCCCGACAGTCGGGAAAATTTTGGGGGATGTCAAGCAGTGGCGAAGCGTCCTGGCCTGCCTATAGGCCCACAAAATAATGTTCTAAGAACTTCTCGTGGTTTGCACGAAATGTTCTTGGAGTATTTATGGCTGGGACAGTCCTGCTTTCATACATCGGCTTTCTGTTCTAAGACTGGTTATTATTTTTGCCATTAGAACACGTGTTGGTTCTAAGAACACGTCGTGGTAGGCGTACAGCAATGCCGTGGACGGTCGGTCTCGGTCCCTGCTCGAGGATCGGCTCACGAGGGGACGAGAGGTTTCGAGGCACGAGTTTTTCCAGGCGGTTTCGTTGGCTTTTGTTGGGTTCTTGTCGGGACGCCGGCGGCTGCGCCTCGCCTGGAGCGCCCGGGGGTGGCCCTGATCGTCCCGAACGGCCGCCGTAGAGCCGAGTTATGACTTGAAAGCCAGGGGGCAACGCAAGGGGGCCATGCGCAGAGGGGGGGAGGGGGAGGGGGGAAGGCGTCTCAGAAGCAGCCTCCTTCTACGAAGCCTTCCTCCCTCTCCCTGCCCCCCTGTACGCGCCGCCAAGTAAGGGGGCATAAGCTCAGAGGGGGCACGCATCGACCCCCAAGCGCCCATCAAACGCAGGGGCCCGATGGCCCACCCCGCCCAGGAGCGGGCGGTGTCGCCATCGGGGGCCTATCGCAGATCCATCGGCGATGTATGCCCCACTGAGCCGGCCACCCCAGTATCGCGCCCTCTCCTCTCAATTGGAAAAAGCAAGAATACATATATATATATATATATATATATAAATAAAAATATATTCTGGCGCGAGCGCGCTCCTCGGATCTCCAACGGTATGGGTTTGTCAAGCCGGACATTTTTCGTCGATGTCGGCATCCTGGGCCCCCAGGCCACCTGAGTTAGATGAGGGGCGCGAAATTGTTTACGTGGAGGACGAGAGGAGCCATCCATCGCCATGGCGGAGAGGGCTCGTGAGGAGAGACGGGCCTTGGGTTTGCGGTTGTCGTTTTCGCGCTCTCGGGGGCCTCCCTGGGCCCTGGGAACGTCAAAGAACGACTCAGGATGAGAGTCTGGTCTTGGGGGCAAGCCCTAGGATACGGGACCCTGCCCGTTTCCTTCACGCCGAGGTCCAGGGTGGGGGCGAGCTTGGTGGTGGTGAGGGTGTTGAACGCTTCGCGTGCAGCTGGCGCGAGCGCCAATCCGACGGGCTCCTCATCCCCACTGAGGCGCTGATGCTGCGGAGGAAGCGGACGCACGCCTCCCGCCGGGCGGCGCCGGCTTGGGTGTGCGTCTGTGGTTCACGGCTCTGCTGCGGAGTGCTCGTGTTAAGTCGGGCCTGTCTCTCTACAGGAGGAATATTCGAATATAGTCAGAAAATACTCAGGGGATGATTTTTGTTGAGCATGTTTTGATCATTTGTTGAATCTGTTTTATTTGTCGTCAAATGCTCGTGTCGCGACGACCCCCGGGAGGCACCTGGAGGCCCCGAAGCGGCCGCCAGGAGGCCTCCAAGTTGCCCACAAAGAGGCTCTCCCCGCGAGAGGCCCCCCTGGCTCTGGGCGGGCGCGCTCTCGGTGTGCGCAGCCCTCCACGCTGCGATTTTCCTCGCCTGGGGCTTCTCCGCGGGGGCCCTGGGCTTCAGTCGGGCACGTCCCTCTATAGGGGGAGGACAAGAGGGAGGAGAAGGGAGGAAGGACAAGAGGAAGGAGAAGGGTGGAAGTTAGAGAAAAAGGGGAGGAAGAAGGAGGAGTGAGAAGGGAGGAGGGGGGAGGAGGGGATTGAGAGGAGGGAGGATGGGGGAGGAAGGAAGGATGAGGGAGGGTGGAATAGGAGGAAGATGCGAAAATAGGCAAAAATTAGCTTGGGGACGATGTTTCGACTACTCTTGAACACGCTTTCGTTTGTTTGGGATCTGTTTGATTTTTCCTCCAAAATCCGCCTGTAGGGGAACATGCCCGACCTAAGCCTGGGGCTTCTCCGCGTGGGCCCTAATTAGGCCTTCGGCGGAGGCGCTCGCGATCTTGGCCCACTCTCCTGGCCCACCGGCACGCCGACAGCGCCCCCCCAGTCCTCGAGTAGGAGATCGACTACAGACTACAGCATTGGTGCACCTCAAAATTGATTTTCTCGTCGAGTCATACGTAGAGAGTTCGTAGATCTACGGACATTCATTCTAAGCATTTCTCTTGGATTCGACGAACAATTCTGTAAAAATCAATGTTGGGGTGAATCAATCCTGTAGTCAATCCCCTACTCGAAGCCCCCCCGCGCCTACAATCATTGAGGGCGAACAGGGCGATCCAGGGGGGGTGGAAGCCAGGGCGGGTGCGCGAAGATTGTCGCGCTTCGCGCGTCGCGGTCTGAATCAGATCGCCTACCCTCCGAGCGTCCGGCGCGAGGGCGCGAGATGCGCGAAGACAGCCGCGCATCGCGGAGCGCGTTGCGCGAAGGTCGTCGCGCATCTCGGGCGGGGGGCTACGACGAGGATAAATCCGTTCCAGAACGTTCCAGAACGCTCCCAGAGCGTTCCGGAACGGTTTGACAAGGCCGCGGCGTCCGAGTCATCCTCCAGAGCCGCCAGGTCTGAGAGATTCTTGATCTATCCTCACCCGATGTTATCTTCGTCCTGGCTTCGTCTTCTTGAGCCGACGCCCGGCGCCCCCACTGCGCCCTCTTGCTTGAGTCCGTTGGAGGTCGAGGGTCCGCGGTGCTTCCCGCGCATCTTCCAGGGTCCAGGGCGCTCGGTATGCCACGCCGTCGGCACTGGTTGCACGGGCACTGCGGGTAATTTCCACGCTCGAAGCAGCTGCGCGAAGTTGGGTGGCCGAGTGACAGGGGTTGAAGTGATTGCACGGTCCCAGACCCCCTCGGGTCATAAAAAATTCAGAACGGGAGGTTTTTGTCCGTTTTCGGCCTCCGGGGGCCTTCGTTGGGTTCGGGGTCGGGGCCGTCTGAAAACGAATCGGGATGAAAACCCGGTCCCAGTGAAGGCGTCGAGATCTTTGGGGGTCGCGTCATGAAAAAATCATGACGTCGAGGGTTTGGGCGTGCACCGCAAATTGAAGAGAAACAAGGATCAAGTCTCCGCTCCCTCGTGCTACGCGGTTCCCTCGTACTCCGCGGCTTCCCGGTCGAGCTTGGAGGATCCAGTCGGCCGAAGAACAGAACACCACACGAACGTACGATTTGGAGGCCCCCGCGGGTCTTCTTGAGTCGGCATTAGCCGCGTGCGTAAGGCCGCGTGTCTTTCGTCGCTCTTTTGTTCTGTTATCCGCCTCGCTCCATCCACTACCTGATCCATCCCGAGCCCTGTCTCTGGCCTGCTCGCGCTCCCGCCTCGCGCTCGGCTCGTGCTTTCCTTGCGACCCCGAGGTGTCAGACAGGGAGTGCAGTGCGGCCCGCTGCAGATGACAGTGGGCCCAGAGGCCACAGCGATGCTCTCTGTGCCCTAGGATACTCCAGCTTTCGTAATAGAAGGGAGGGGGTCACAACCCGCCCAGACGATAAGTTTTAGACCCCCCAGACCATCCATGAAAGGGTGGCCCTTTGCCCAGACCCCCCGAAGACAGCTCAAATCAGACTTTCTCAAATGTGACCACCCCCTTTATCATGGAATACGGAGTACATGGTTTCCCAACCCTTCTGTGTTGGTGGGTCCTCACTCTGAATCCACACCACCTCTCGCACGCCTCACTCCCCACTCGTGTTGTTTCGTTTGCGCCTTCAAGGGGGCACGGTTTGCGCCTTCAGAGGGGCACGGCCTGTGCGCGCGAGTCACACCAGGATGCCATCGGCGGGATGCCAGCAGCGCGCGCGCCCCCCAGAGGCTCCGGGCCATGGCCCATGCTGCCACTGCACCGCTGCCCGTTGCCTGTCGTTCTCGCAAACGCCGATTCCGGCACGCCGGCGTTCCTTACGCGCTTCGAAATCCGCTCCGATAATCGCAGTGGGCGCGCCCGCATGCGCCCTCCCGCCCATCTCGGCAGACCCCTCCCACCCGTCGTGCCTCCATAGGCAGCTCCACCTGCGGCCCCCGCGCGCGCGCCCGCGGGCCAAGGCCGGATTCGGCGCACCCCATCACGCGGCTCGCACACAGCTCCACCTACGGCCCCAATGGAAGTCCTCGCACACTTTCCCCAGCCCGCTTCGGGACACCCCGCGCGAGGATCGTGCCCCACACGCAAGGGGCCCAGGGCGCCTCTGCGCGCCCGGCTGCTCCCCGGCCCTTCTGTCGGCATTGCGCTGAGGTCCATCCCTCCTGCGTTATGAGCCACGCCCTGCGCTACACGGAGCTGCAAGGGGTTGGGCTCCTCGCTGGGCGAACTGCCCATCCATTTTAGTATCTCCTTTTTTGGGGGGCGATGAGTCTAGTATGCACACCCTTCCCCCTGCAGCTGTCTGGAGAGATCCAGAGATGTGTCGGGGACGGGCGGAGCGCGAGAAAGCAGAAGAGCACCGGGGATGACGAGGCGAGGGGAGCAGCTTGGAAGCCCAGATATCGGGCGATCTGATTTCTAAGGTTCGGGCGTGTTTCCTCGATCTCGGCCTCCAGGGCCTGTTCTCTGGCTCCAGGACCGCAAAGATGAATCCACGACCTTACCCCGTTGAAGTTCTGTGGACGCGGATTGAGAAAATCAGATCGAAGGTCTGGGATTAAGTCGGGCGTGTTCTTCTACAGGAGGATCTTCAAAAAATAGTCAAAAATAATCAGGGGACGATTTTTGTTACTATTTTGAAGCATGTGGGTGCATTGTTTGAACATTTTCAATGTCCAAAATCCGCCTGTAAGGGGACATGCCCGACGTAAGTCTGGGATTGCTGCAGGTGCGCCCGACTCACCTGCGACGCTGGCCCCCTGGCCGCAGAGTTGCCAACAGGAGGCGCACGCAGCAGCTGCAACACCGTGAGGCGGGACCCTGCTGGCGAGACCCTGATGGACGGGACCACGGGCGATACCCTGATGTCAAGGGAGGAAATCTAGGCCTCCTAGATGAGGTCGGAGTAGATGGGGTCGGGGGATCGCGCCGCATCGCAGATGCATCGCAGATGCGGCTCGATGTGGAGCCCGATTTGCTTCACGTTGACGTCGCCGATGCACCGCCCACGTCGCCGATGTATCGCGCGTGCATCGCCGATGCCTCGGCGATGCGGCGCGATCCTCCAACCCCATCTGATCCGACCCCATCTAGGAGGCCTCTAGGAAAGACCACCCTGGCCCGCATGACTGGCGGTCGTTAGACGGCCCCAGGCGCCTACTTCACAGCCCCGTTGTGTTCCATGTTTGCATGGTGTGCGCTTGCTACACGGCTTCGCACGTCGGGGTGTTTGTTATGAGGGAGGGTTCTGCTCTCTGTGATGGGAGGGACGTTGTGAGACACGCCGGGTTTCTCCGCGCATGGGCGACGGCGACGCAGGGGGCCCCACCCGCCGGGCGGGCTGGACCTGTGGGTTGGTCTGGCGGCTATGTCGTCGCCGCCGCCCCGTCGCCGCCTCGTCGCCGCCCGTCGTCTGGGCCTGCATTGGTTTGCATTGCTGCGCCGTGCTTTTCATTGCTCTGCTTTTTGTTGGATTGCTCTGCTGTTCCTTGCATCGCTTTGCATGGTCTTCCATCGCTGGCATTACGTCGCATTGTGTTGCACTGATTTCCATTGCGCTGCATTGCGTTGCCATGCGATGCGTTGTTTTGCATTGATGTGCGTTGCAAGGCATTGTTTTGTTTTGCCTTGGGTTTCCTTTTTCTGTATCGCATTACATGAAGTCGCATTCCTTTACATCGAGTTGCATGGTGGTTGATTTGCATTGCTATGCATTTCTTTGACATGCTTCTCATCGCATTACATTTCATTGAACTGCCCTGCTCTGAATTGCTTTGCATGATTGTAAGCTTGCTGAGGCTATGTTGCGCTGCGCTGCTTCGCACCACCTTGATTGCACCGCGTAGATTGCAAGGAAGCATTGTTTGGGTGCCACGCTGGCTAACCTACAACTGAAAATATTGAGTGGCCTTCGGCCAATCCGGCCACCGTGCCTGGGTTGTGGGTTAGAGGCCTCTTGGATGTTCGTTTGGATATCGTGGGAAGCCTCTTGGAGGCAGTTGTGAGGCCTCTTGGGGGCCGTTTGGGGGCCTCTTGGGGCCTCTTTTTGAGCCTACTGGGGCCTCGCGGGGCCTCTAGGGGGCCCTTTGGGAGCCTCTTGGGGCGGAAGGTCGGTTCGTGTTCCCCTTATTGGGCCCCTCTTGGGGCCGTCTCGGGGCTCTCTTGGGCGATCTTGGGCGCCTCTAGGGCCGTTTGGGGGCCCTTTTAGACCGTCTTGGGGCCTTCTTGAATGCCTTTTGTGTCGTCTTGGGGCGGTCTTGGGGGCCTCTAGGGCCATCTTGGAGCGTCGGAATACCGAAAACGCGAGAACGCGAACCGCATCGAAACACGCAGGGCACATCAACGATGTGTGCCTCGTTGGGCCCTCTTCGGGGGTCCTCTTGGAGCGCTCTCGGGCTTCTTTGGGGCCTCTTGGGGCTTCGTGGGGCAATCTTGGGCGTCTTGGAGCGCTCTTGGGCTGTCTTGGAGGTCCCTTGGGCGCTTCTTGGGTCCCTCTTGGGCTCCCCCTGGCGTTTGGCGAAGTCACGCGAGGCAGCCCAGGAGGGCGTGGGGGCGCCCAGGAAATTCGAGCATCTGGGGCCCCAGCCCCTAGAACGTTGGAATCCCCCAGCCCTGAGCACAGAGAACAGAGAGCACACAAGAGCCCGGGGGTAACTCCACTTCGTGCTTCGAGGCACGGTGACGGATTTGCAGATGCGGTGCTTTCTATATGGTGTAAGTTGTGTGATGCTATCTATATGGTGCAATCTATGTAGGCGGCGACGGGGCGGCGACGGCAACCACAAGGCAGCGGACCCGACACTGGAGCCCAGACGACCAGTGGCGACGAGGCGGCGAAGGCGACACCAAGATGGTGGACCCGACATTGGAGCCCAGACGACAGGCGGCGACGGGGCGGCGACGGCGACAAAGGGAGGCGGACCCGACACTGGAGCCCAGACGGCGAGCGGCGACGATGCGGCGACAGTGCGGCGACGGCGACAAGCCGGCGGATCCGACATTGGAGCCCAGTTTCCTAGAACACAAAGAAGAACCCATGAGTGCAAGCACTGGATGGGAAAAGTGCATTGCATTCAGTTGCGCTAAGTTGAATTGTGTTGTTGTGTTTACGTTGACGTCGCCGTCTTGTGTTTTGAGTGCGGCTTGATGTGCCTCACGTTTCCTTAGTGATCAGTGGAACGCATTGCGTTGCAAGTGTGCTGAGTTGTGGTGCGTTGCAGGTGCATTGCAATGCAAAGCACTGGTGTTCAGATCAGGGGTAGCATTGGGGGGATAGACTCAGGGAAGGATGCATCTCCCCCCAATGGCCTATTTATCGTCGATAGGGGCCTGAAAGCCTTCCCCGCCCAGGAACGTGCGGATTGGTTATCCAGAACCGATCGCCGTATTTTTCTGCGATACTGCCACTCGCTTCACCGCACTCTCTTCTCGTCGTCCTCTTCCTCTCGTACGCACATCTTGCGTGACAGGTACACATTTCGTCCAGTCGGTTTCGGCCGCACGTTGCACGCCCATGTTCTCTTGATACAAGAAGCCCGCGTCAGTGACCTTCTGCAAGCGAGGAGGCTTCGACAAGCGAGTGATGAAGTCTTCCGACGCGGAGACTGGGGCAGGAGTAAACCCATCCACAAGGGGAAAGAAGGGGGTAGAAGGACTAACTCGCTAAACAAGTTGCGCCAGGAGATATGGGATTGATCAGACAACGTCACGTATATTCGTAAGGGCTTCGCCCTCTGCCGCGGGCCCCATCTCTATCATGGCGGAAGATGCCGGGGCGATGCTGAGACGTGTCGCGGTTGTTCCGAAGACTATTGGAAACATCATGCGAGGCTGATTGGCATTCCGTATGCACCCTGAGATGTTGGAGTTGCTGGTGAATTCGTTTTGGCATCGCTCGGACGTGTGTTTTTTTTCTCGAGGGGGACAGTCTAGAAAAATCATACGCGCGAGAGCGAAACGTGCACGGGGAATGGCCGTCCGAGCGATGGCGAGTCTTTGCTTTTTCCCAGTGCGCGAACTTGGCGTATGGCATTGTTTTTGTTTTTATCATAGAGCTCGTGTGCGAGGTCTTCTGCGGGATGTTGTGCGGTCTTGTGTGGGCTCTTTTATTGGGTTCGGGGCGTCGATTCGCGTTCTCTTGCGTTGTTCTCCTGCACAGTTCGTCATCTGGTGCGCGGCTGGTGCGCGACCATGCTTCGCTCGACCATTTTGCTCTTATTCAAAGTAGTACCAGGGATCGCGGCGTGGGGAGCGCGAGCCTGGCGTCGTTTACACGGGGTGTTCCCTCGTGAGCGCGCATGCGAATTTTTGATGACAAGTTATGATGGACGCCGGCCTCGGGAGCGCGAATCTGGCGTAAATTACTATGGGCTCGATCTTCGGGAGCACGGCGCCGCGGGGGCGTGAGCGCGGCGTCAGTCACCAGGGATCGTGACCTCGGGAGCGCGAATCTGGTGCAGTTTGTAAGGGGTATGGCTCCTGGGGTGCGAATCTCAATTGTTTTTTCGTGTCCCATGGCCCCCCGAGGAGTTCTGCGAACCCCGGGAGGGCGTGGTGGCCAGGGCAGTTTTCGGCTCCTCCTCGCGCGTTCGGTGAACATTTACACTAGGAAGCAGGCCATGGAACCGTGACGCTCGAGACTGGGAACTGGAAGCTGCACTGGAATTACGACTGGGACTGACCGTAGACACGCTAACGGTGTATTAGCTAACAACGGCGAAGTAGGAAATCCAATTATAGGAAGGCGTGGTTCGTGGCCAAACCCATTGTAGGAACGCGTGGTTCGTGTTTTCCTACAACTCGTTGTGTCGGTTTTCGTTTTCGTCGCGTGGTCTGAGGAGCTCAGGACTGGCAGCTATTGCCGAAGCCCGCCGTTCCCAGCTAGGTTGGCCTCACAAGGGGGCCCGGCGGAGGAATACTTCTCGGCAAGCGCAACACTACGGTGCAACTCGCATCGACATCATGCCATCATCTCGCAGCGCATTTCGTAGTGGCCCATGTCGTCTCGAACAGCTCAACAATAGTGAGCGTTGTTTTATTCATTGTTTTGCCGATCGGCGCGGGCCCTCGCACCCCCCCCTCCCCCCCCCTGGAGTAGATCTTGGCTGTTTTTGGCGCCTGTTTCCAGCAGGTGGAGCCTCCCCCATAATGGACGCACTGCTGCAAACAGTCGCACTAAGCAGAGGTCTGGAGCCAGACCCCCCCATCCCCCCCTTTCTTCCCAATGCCGAAACGCCGAATAAAAAAGTGCTCATGTACAATGTATTACTTCATGATGTTCGTCCGGCAGCGGATGGTATACTCCTCCCCGATGTCATAGTGTTGTGCGATTGACGAGGGTGGCGACGATGATTGCGGCGGTGGTGCACGGCTGGTGATCGACGGGATCCGCCTTTTGGGCACCCTTGTTCCCGCTTGTTCCAGTGAGCTCCAGGGGTCAGCTCGCCCCAGGCTGAAGGACAACCCTAGTTTTCAAGGTAGGGATTGACTGCAGAATTGATTCACCCCAAAATTGATTTCCCCGCCGAATCTACGAAGCATACGTTTTATGTCCCGTAGATATACGAAATTCCGATGCGTTTTTCCATATTCGGCGGGAAACCCAACTCTGTAGTAAATCAATTCTGTAATTGATCCTCTCTATTCGAAGTTTGGGTGGTTGGTCTCTCCACTTTGGAACGTTCCTCGTTTTTGGGGTAATTATCTGCTTGGGGCGTTGGGCCTTAGGCTGCTCGTGTGCTTGGCACACGTTCTTGTGGCCATGCTTTGGCTAGAGTGGAGAGGAAGCAAGGAGAAGGGAAAAGCGGCGGCAGCAGGACGAGAAGGCGAAAGGGGCCAGGAGATCAGAGACTAGGAGGAGGAGGCAAACGGGAATGGTCACGTGTAGTGTGCCCTCCTGTCCCGAAGCTCACTGGAAGTCCCCAGAGGCCTCCAGGGGTCCGTGGAGGCACCTCGATAATCTGGAGTTCCAAAACGGGCCGACATTGGCGCACAGATATACACAAACAACAAAGTATGTTTTCTCTGTGCTTCGTTCTCCCCTTCCTCCTGCTCGTCCTCCCGCTTTTTTCTCAATGATGAGTTGTCCTAAACTCAACACGGATAGTTGCGGCTCTGCATATATGGTTGTGTGCGATGTTTTTCAGGCAAGTGGTTGCGGAGTGGAAGTGTTGCCCCTGCTACTGTATGTGCCCACCCCCGCTTGAATTGAAATGGGTCTGCAACCAGCTGTCCAGAAACCGAGCTCTGAATGATTTTCTGGTCATGGTCAAAGAATGGGGGCGGACTAATCTTCCTCCTCGATTTTCTATACTCCCACTCTTCTTCCTTCTCCTGATCTCTTTCCTCCTCCTCCCTCTTCCTCTTCCCCAAATCTACCTCCTCCTATTCCTCCGACGACGGTTTCGACGTTGAAGACGATGTTGACGCTGACGACGAAGAACGAGAACGAAGGCGACCACGACGACGACGACGACGACGTTGACGCTAACGACGATCACGTTGACGTCGTTGGCGACGACGTTGACGCTAACGACGATCATGTTGACGTCGTTGGCGACGACGACGACGACGACGACGACGACGACGACGACGGCGACGACGACGACGACGACGACGACGACGACGGCGACGAAGACGGCGACGGCGAGACGACGACGACGACGACGACGCCGACGACGACGACGACGACGACGACGACGGCGACGGCGACGGCGACGGCGACGGCGACGGCGACGGCGACGGCGGCGGCGGCGACTCGGAAGGCGGAGATCCAGGCGCTCCGCGCGGCGGTGGAGGCGCCCCACCACGAGGGGGGCTGCCAGCCGCTAATTTGAAGCGCAGTTTCGACCATCGAGGTTTGAGGGTTCAGGTTCTCGAGCCTAGGATGTTACACGTTTTCGGTCTTAGGCTTTCCGGAGCGTTCTCGTCACCACGGCTGGGCCAGGACGCACCCTGGGAGAGGGCTGGGGTTCGAGCTTTTAGCGGGTCCAGGCCTCCAGGGTCTTCGCAAAAATACTTGGACGAAGACTTTGCACGACAATTATCCTAGGGCCCCTTGTCAAGTTGTGCGACAATCAAAAACTAGTCAGGACGGAAACCTGACCCCAGAGAAATAGTCCGGGAGAGGGAGGGGGAGGGGGAGAGATGTTGTTTCTTGTCAACTTTCTTCGCAGCTCATTCATGAGCCATGGGACGTCAGGATCGTTGTCATGTTATTGCAGCGGTTTCTTGCCATTTTATTGCGGCACATTGGACATCCAACCAAGGACAAGCGCCTTGAACAAACACCAAGGGTATCCATGTTGCTGGCATTGCGGCAAGCTCATGGCGCACCAGCGGCTAGGCATTTACGCTTGGCCAATGGAGTTGAGAGACAAGGACGTACATCAGCCATTCTAGTAGATCGGGCTCCATGCCTTTAGATTCGTCCCACGACCTACTGCACGCACGGTTCAAAGTTTGTTCACGCCCTCTCATGTTTCCCAAGCAGCGTTTGCAATTCATGACGCTTCGCGTATCCCCACCAGCCACCTACTGCCCTACTACCCTAGCCAGACTATCCCCGAAGGCGCCCCTACTGCCCACATACTCCACCCACCGTCTCGCTGGAGATCAATCGAGTGGCCCCGTCCGCGAGCTGGTCAAGTTTCTGATCGAGTGGAACCACATGGTCTACACACTATGGACGGCCTACACGCAGCGCTGGGGCAGGGAGGTAGTGGGTGGTGTGACCGACGAATCAGGATGGTCACTCGAGCACCTGGCGCGCTTCCTGGACTGAATCTACGGGGACAAAATCCCCAGGAATGGTCACCCCCCCTTCATCCCCTGGGACGGACAGAGGGCTGCAACGGCCAATGTCATTACGCACCTGGTTGAGAGGAATCAGAAATACCAGGAAGCATGGCGGTCCTTCGCAGACAAACTCGACAACCAGAAAGGACAGTGCCCCCGGCGCCAACCGTTGGGTACGCTAACACATTTCCTACCTCAAATGAAGGACGACCTCTCAGTAGGAAAAATGGAGGTCCTTACCAGCGAGCGCAATGTCGGGAGGACCAGCAGCGAGGAGGGTGACGGATCCCCCGCTGCGATCTGGCACAGCAAGCCCCTGGCTGCCTCATCTGAGTGCCCCCCCGACCATGCCCCCTCCAACAACCCGCTGTGCCGGCGCAGTCGGACGGGCAGATAAGGGAAATACCATCCCCGGACATATACGGAAGCGGCAGCGGCGAATACGAAGTCGATTGGGACGAGGACAGCAAAAGGCTGGATACAGAAGGTCAGGCTCTAGGAATCCCACCAGACAGGACCGTCTCCCTGGATGCCAGTCCCTCACCACAGGCAGATGAGGATGACGTCTCCGGCCCAAGCGACAGCGGCGCTCCCCACAGCCCGCCAGTCCTATGGACCCAGCCCCCACCAAGGGTCGAGTCAGCAGCTTGGACGCCGTTCGCTACTGCCCGCTCCCGTGCACTCCAGGAACAGATCGGAGACGGCAGAAATCTAAGAGGGGCGGGGAGCAAGACAGAGCGCAGTCAGCGCTCCATACCCGAGGACGCCACACTTGAGCGCAATGCCCGCCCGCCACTCAGCCCCCTGTGGCAGAACCATAGCTCGGGCCGACGGCCCGACCCCCAGGCAGCACCCCTCCCACCCGCGCGCCCAGACGATCCGCTGGGCGGACTCCCCATGTACATGAAGCCCGTCTACGAGGCTGACACCAAAGTAGACGAACCAGCCTCAGACAAGATCATCAGGCTGCAGAAGACGTTGGGAGGCGCATTCAATGGGATTTGGACTGCCTGGGTTCGTAAGGCAGGCAGCAGGCACGGGGGCCCGTGGGTCAGCATCAAATCCGACCCCAAGAAGAACACTGAGCAACAATGCGAAGGCTTTCTTCTGGCATGGGAAGAAGCTGGCTACGATGCCTACAAGATGGACGTCGAACACGAGCTCCGCGTGAGGGGGCAACAGTCATGGAGAAGCATCGCCTTCTGTTACAACGCGACACGAGGACGCAAGCCCCCAAGGGACGCGGTAGCGACGGACGCCAGCAACCGCGGGCCGTCAGCAGCAACGTCGCGCCGACGCCCCCTCCAGTGCCCGACAGGGACAGCGACGCCTCGCGCACATCCCCCCCGGGCGAGCCCAGGGGAGATGGCCAACGATACCCTTGGAGCAAGCCCAGAGAAGCCACAGCTGCCCCCCCTGCTTACGCCGATTACAGGGTTGCCGCGCAGACGGGCGCATCCAGCTCAGATGCCCCGTGGCACCCGTGGCAGTCCTGGGAGGGATGGGACCGCCGGCAAAGCACATGGGCCGGCACAGACATGGAAGACCAGGGAGAAAAGGACCGCCCCTAGAGGCGACGCACACTACGCCGACAAGCGACAGCGAGGGCGGGAATTCGACCGCAAGTAACGCCGTCGGGTGATAACGGTACGAGCCTTCGGCTCTTCTCCCCTTATTTATTCAAAGGCTCTGCGGCTATCGGCTGCGCCCCCCTTCCCCTCCTTCCCGACGCCCTCGTCGACTGTGGTGTCTGACCGACGACGCGTGACGATCACCGATCTGATTCATATAAGCAGGGGCCACCATGGCCATTGAAGTCCCTTGGCCGCCCACAGGCAAGCCTCGGGCAATGGGATGACGCCGGGGGCAGAAGGCCCCTCGCGTGCCGCAGCGGCAGCGGGGTGCCCCCTCATGCTGGGGGCTCGTTCCACCGCAGTGTCAGGCCTCGGCCTTAATGCACGTGCCACCTACTGGGAGCGAGGCGCACAATCACACTGCTGTTGACCCCCCACGGTTCTCCGCGGGCTCTTAGCCCGTGCGGTCTGGCTGCAATTACCCTGCCCACTGCTCTCTTTGGCCCCGCTGTCGTGGGCCCGCGTCACCTGCGGGTGCGCTCTCTTTGGATGGCCGGGGCGGCAGGCCGACCCCCCCCCCCCCCCCCCCCCCCCCCCATGGGGCGCCACGCGCCGCGACTTACCGACTCCACGTGTTGGGTCCTCGTCAGGGGGCGTTTGCATCCAACGTCTCCCCATCTGTTCACATGTTCTGCGGCTATCGGCTGCGCCCCCTCTCCTCCCATCCCGACGCCGCCAACGACTCCTGCGGGATGGCGACATTCGCAGTGTGGCTCTGGCCAGTACTTGGGGCACCTCGTGGGGATGAGGTGCCCCCCTCTCACATTGCAGGTTGGTGCGGCGCTCGCTCGATGGCGCGGGCTTTCGGACAGCGGCGTCTCGCAGGCCTGGCCTTCTTCGTCGTGGCCGTTCCGCTCTTCGGCGTCGTCGCTCTGAAGTGCGGCTTTCAGTTCACCTGGTACCTACTGTGACAGGTCCACGCCTCCCCTGGCCGACGTTGCCCCCCGGCGTGGCCGGCCTGCCCGACTCAGGCACGGCGATGTGGTGCCCACCCGTGATTGGGCCCTGTCGACGCGCCAGCGTCTCGTGGTGCTCTGTGAGTGAGGCCTCCAGCTTTTCTTTTTCTTCTTCGCCCTCGCCCTCGGCCCACCTGGGTGCCGGGTGTTCCGTTATATTTCCCCATATCCTAAGATGGGGTTCTTGTTATTACTTGGACGCCTCCTACTCCTCCTCCTCCTTCCTCCTCCTCTTTTCTCCCCCCCTCCTGTCGGACATACTCAGATCTGCTCATACACAGACTTACTCATACTCAGACTTACTCATACTCAGACCTACTCATACTCAGACTTACTCACACTCAGACATGCTCATATACAGACTTACTCATACACAGACTTACTCATACACAGCATTAGTCATACCCAGACGTACACATACACAGACTTACTCATACACAGACTTACTCATACTCAGCACCCCTAAGGGGAGCCGCCAGGGGTGGTTGCACGGGCTCGTTCGCGGCCATTTTGTGGGGATGTCTCAGGCGGTTTGCCTGTTTCTGTGCCCAACATCCTTCGCTTTCGGAGCAGATTTGGAGGATGTCTCGAGCGAGGCGCTCATTTCAGCACCCCTAAGGGGAGCCGCCAGGGGTGGTTGCACGGGCTCGTTCGCGGCCATTTTGTGGGGATGTCTCAGGCGGTTTGCCTGTTTCTGTGCCCAACATCCTTCGCTTTCGGAGCAGATTTGGAGGATGTCTCGAGCGAGGCGCTCATTTCAGCACCCCTAAGGGGAGCCGCCAGGGGTGGTTGCACGGGCTCGTTCGCGGCCATTTTGTGGGGATGTCTCAGGCGGTTTGCCTGTTTCTGTGCCCAACATCCTTCGCTTTCGGAGCAGATTTGGAGGATGTCTCGAGCGAGGCGCTCATTTCAGCACCCCTAAGGGGAGCCGCCAGGGGTGGTTGCACGGGCTCGTTCGCGGCCATTTTGTGGGGATGTCTCAGGCGGTTTGCCTGTTTCTGTGCCCAACATCCTTCGCTTTCGGAGCAGATTTGGAGGATGTCTCGAGCGAGGCGCTCATTTCAGCACCCCTAAGGGGAGCCGCCAGGGGTGGTTGCACGGGCTCGTTCGCGGCCATTTTGTGGGGATGTCTCAGGCGGTTTGCTGTTTCTGTGCCCAACATCCTTCGCTTTCGGAGCAGATTTGGAGGATGTCTCGAGCGAGGCGCTCATTTTCACCCCCCAGGTGGGCCAGATTTTGAGGATGTCTCGATCGGTTTGCTAGTTTTGGTGGCCAGGCTCGTGGGCGCAGATTCTTCTCAGGATGCCACAGGAGGCTCCAACAGGCTCCAGGAGGCTCCAGGAGACCACATGAGGTCCCAGGAGGCATCAGGAGGCCACAGAAAGACTCAAGAGGCTACAGGATGTCCCA